GGAGGCGGGCGGGCGCGGAGGGCCAGGCCGCCAGAGCTCCGCGCTCGGCCTCTCTCTCCGCCCCGGCCGAGTTCTCCACGGCTCGGCGGGACTCGGGCTCCCGGGAGGACGCGATGCCCGCTCGCCTGCTGCCGCTCCGGTCCCGTCCGAGTCCCGAGTTGTGGTCGCGGCCGGGAGGGTCACATTCGGACCCCGCGGTGGGTCTCGGGGAGGGATGGTACGGGCGGCTGTGGCGCGGGGTTTTGAAATACTTCTGCCGGGCGGTAGTGGCCAAGGTTATGGGGTGTCTCTGAATGAGATGTCCTGAAGCTGAGGCAGGAGGATGGCCGCGAGTTTGAGGCCAGCCTCCGCCACATAGCAAGACCCCTTTTATGGGGGCGGGGGGAGTAAAGGTAGCCCCCGAGGCCGAGATGTCTAGGAGAAGAGCTGGGGGGATGTCCCTCCATCCATCCCCTCGCGGAAGTTGACTCCGAAGGGGGAAGCGCCTTGGAGACTAGGTCACGGGCTGTGTCTCAGAGCTGGTGACCAATCCCTGTGGTTGGGAAATGTGTGGCTGGATGCGGTAGGCTCTGTCAGCCTGTGGAGTTTAGATGTGACATTTTGGCAGGAGAAGTTTACAGGGTCACCTGATTTTGTGTGAAAAGAGTTTTTCTCCCCCCCCCCCTTGGAAGTTAACAGTTGGGCCTTTTAACCTACAAACTTAAAATTACTTTTAAAAGAAAGACCCGATTAGTCACCCGCTTCGGTCATCTCAGTGTTTGGGAATCGAGGCAGGAATGGACTTGGGAGTTCGACGTGAACATCAACAAGGGCTGCCTAGTGAGTTTGAGACCAGCCTTGGCTATAGAGTGAAATTCTAGACACACACCCCGCCCCCAGTCGCAGTTAAAAGAAGAGTCCCAAGTAAAATTGTCTTGTCAAGCATCTTGCTACTTAGTATGACTGACTTTAAGGTTTGCAGGTGCTGATAGGGGCTGTTTAACTGAGCTACATCCCCGGCTCCCATTCATCCTTTACAGATTACTGTTGGGGGGATTATTTATTTTGGATATATATATATATATATATATATATATATATATATATATATATATATATATATATATAT